CTACGGAAGCCTTTAAGGGTTCAAACACCAACCTGTCCGCCAGTGAAGCTGGGCGCTCTGGATGCTGGATCGTTGTTCCCTGGTGGCTCCTGGGCGATTTGGTGCTCAGGTTCTGGAACGAGGTGGGACGGGCCTAACAGACGTTCTCAGTGGTGTCGGTCCGTGTAGTGATTGAGTTTTCATTCGTGAGTCGTGTGTGTGTGTGCGTGAGCGTGCGTCAACTGTGAGCACTAAATGTGAATTTGCAATATTGCAACGTCAACACACACAAAACTCTATCTGGGCTGTTTGTTTTTTTTTATAGGAAAAGATATTCAGGTCTTCCTAGTCTCCAGAATAAGTGCTTTCTGTTCCTGAACCTGCTGGACTGGCATCATCATCACCATCGTCATCATCACCACCTCCTCCTCCCCGGGGTGATGAGCGTTTGAATCCTGAACTGCCAAAATCCTGATGTTTCCACTTTCAGCAGGGACTCGTCCTCTCACTGTCCTTCAGGACCCGGACGCCGAGTCCCCGGTCGGGACAGGAGAGCGTTTCGGGAACGACGACCACGGCGGGAGGCGTTCCCGTCCGGGAAAACGGAGGGATCTGTTGGAGGTTAAAGGACGACAACACAATTCCTGAGATTAAAGCACAAGCTTGCTGCATTACAAAGAGTCGCGCTGCGGAGCTTTTTGTACCTTGTTCCCGTGGAGTTTAACCGAGTATGCATCTCCTTGTTGTCATGTGACTTGTCCCACATTGCCAATATTCCCCCGTCAGTGGGTCCGGCCTGAGCTGGTACCAGAACCCAGAGGCGGTCGATGGATGTCGCTTCTGCTGGAGGCTTTATTTCTGCTGCGGGTTTCTGATGTTGGGTTCAGCCTCTTCTTGGCTCTGAGGAAACGGTTTCAACCTTTTGATGCTTTTATGGCGTTTATCAGACAGCAATGTTTCCAAACTGAAACATCAGAGGTGTCGCTCTGCGGCGTGGCGTTACAGCCCTGCAGAGATAAAGCGGTCTGGGAGCTCTGCTGAAATCAAAACGTTTCCTCGCTGAGGTTCTGTTTGGGAGGCGGTCGTTCCGGGCTTTGAACTTGGTTTTATATCACGCTGACTCCTGCGGGTGAAACTCCACCTGCTGCTCAGACTGCCTTCATTCCAGACGTCCCAGACGTGAGGGTCTGCCCGGAATGAGCCAGACAGGAAACCCAAGCGTCCCCGCCTCCTTCCGGATCCCGCTTATTCTGCTCTGTGCTGTTCTGTTGGGTGGATGTGGTTCTGGTTCCGATCGGTCATCAGGTCTCCGGATCCTTCCCTCTGTACAGTAGGTACCTCTCGAGTGCCTTTCTTCAAACAGCAGATAATATTTGTCTCTCGACTTGCACTGTGACTTGTAGACCCTAACGAAGCCGTCTGACACCGAGCCGCACCGCCTCGCCTGGACCCGACCCGACCGGCTCCCTGGAGCCGATGCAAGCTCACCCACATCTTTCATGAACCCGTCTGATTCAACCAGTGTTCGTCCACATCCTAGAAGTTGCCTTAATGTGTTTTTAATTTTCTGGTGGAACGTTTAGATCTGGGTTCGGGGGGTGAGATCTCACTCTGATCCGTTTGTTGTGCACTTTTAGTTTGATCAGTATTATCAGAGCAGAGCGTCGTTTTGGTTTTATTTTGAAAGCCCCCTTTCTTTCTTCCTGTCTCTTATTTTGGAGGAGGGATGAGGTCACATGAGCCGGAGCCTGAGAGCGTGTCAGACGAACAAACCTTGGCCCAGCGAGCACCCATGCACGCTGCGGGTCAGAACATGCCTTCTTATGCAAGTTTTTATACCAACCTTTTTATTATGCATTGTTTCAGTTTGTTTTTGTTTTTATTATGTGAAACTTAAGTCACCTTTTCTTCTGAACATTCGTTTACACATTCAGGTAGCCATTCAGGGGAAACCTTTGGGCAGAGTGTTCCAGACATGGAGCCTCTGTGGTCAGAGGAACGGAAAGACATCCGAACTCCTGCAAATTTTTATTATTTTCTAAACGTTTTTTGATTTGTGTTGCAGTACTGCGAGTGGCCACTAGGACAGGCTGGAGCGGGTGTTTCTCTGTGGTTTCAGCTCCTTCTAGCTTAGCTTTTATTTCTTGCGTGGACGTCGGGGTGGGGCCCAAAATGTTCCTTAATGAAGTCTGGAAACAAATATATCCAAAGAACTCTGCATATCATCAGGGCGCGAGTTTTCTGCGTCGTCCACAGACGGTTTTTCGCGCTTTCGGGACGCCGCTCCGGGCTTCTGTGTGGGTCCTGGGAGGCGGTTTGCTTCTCATCTTTTGGTTTTTAAAGCGATCAAGTCATGATTGTGGCCTTCTAGTATTCTATGGGTTCATGACATCATTCACCTGTTGTTCCTGCTCAGCATTCATCCATCCACCTGCTCATCCTGTCTGGATCCTCTACACCTGCAGCATCTTACCTCATCCACAGCTGAGTCCATCGAGGGTGTGTTGAGTGCAAAAAAATCAGAAAAAAAAACAACATAAAAAAATATCTAAAAAATGAAAAGTCTTTTTCTATCTTCCATTCGGTGAGATGCATTGTAGCGATCAGAATAAAGAAAAAGTTCACCTGGTGTGCTGAATAACGTGTAAATTGGTTATTACACAATCTGAATATTTGTATAATTGTTTGTATTTTTTCATAATGATTTTGGAAAGGAATGTGTTTATTTTTTTGACTTCTGTTCCAGATGTGTCTTCTGTTGGCCTGACATTGTGACTGGTCTGGTGGGATTCTTACCTCTGTATTGAGCCTCTTCTGTGATAAATTCTTTGTATGCAGTGTTTAGGAAATACTGTAGGGAACATGGGGAGGAGTTGATATTAGGAGCATTTGATCAATTTGTATTTATTTATTTTATCATTTTGTTAAAATAAATTGTGAAAAAACAAACAAAAAAAAAAGATCATCTCCTGAGATATATTTCTTAATTTGGTAACCTTTCTTAAAACCTTGTGTGTTAAAAGCAGTCAGGGGTTCACTGTCGCTGTAACGATTGTTCATAAAGAAGATGATGCAATATTTAAGGTAAACTGATTTTAAAATGGGAAAGAATATCAAGAAAAGTCTTGAAAATGTTCGTATTAAAGATATTTCCTATTTATACTTGGGTTTTCTTTAGAGCCTTATCCTCTACATAAAACCCTCTAAAAGGCGGACATACGCTACCAGAGTAGCAGCTCGTTCCACCTTCAATGCTCAGGGTTGAGGAAACCAGGTCTTCCTCCTTGGATGGTACATTTCCCATGATGCTTCCACCTCCATGTTCTAAGTGAGGCTTTGTTTTATTGACCTAAATTTTGCCTTCATCTTTGTCTTGTTCTTTCACTTCACTGATTTCCCAAACGCCTTCCATCACACGCGCCTCCTTGGCAGCGGTGTCAAAGGAACACACGTTTGTGTGTACTTTTTGTTACTTAAGTAGAAGTATAGATACTGCAGTTTAAGTATCAAATTGACCTCTTTACCCAAGTAAAAGTGAAAAAGTATGTGCTCCAAAAACTACTTAAAGTATAAAAGTATAAAGTAACC